TAACATCCCTATATAACAAAACTTCACTATAAAAGCCAAGTTTTTCCGGAACCAATTTTCATTTTATGTTATAATATATATTCTATATAACAGCACTTCGCTATAACATCCAAAAATATTCGGAACAAACGGGGCTGCTATAGAGAGGTTTGACTGTAGTATATGTAAAAAAACACTAATATTTCGTAATTTCTATAGTACAATCTATTCTGTTGCTAAGAATATTAAGAGTTGAACTATTGAGTTTAAACCTTGAATCCGCCTTTACCTGTAATGGCCTTAATATCTTCAGTCAATTCTTTAACAAGAAGCTTACAGTTTTTGAAACCAGGAAGAAAATATTCATCATCTAATTTTTTTCCAACATGAGGAAGATTTATCCAAGTTGAGTGATAAGCCCCCATACCAAAACATCCACCAGCATTGAATATAACATGAAAAAGTCCAAATGTATGAGCAATTTTAGCTGTCCATGAAAAGAACATGTCTGAAATGACACAAAGTGGTGGTCTAGAGCAATTTTCTTCAAGAAAAAGATTGGACATGATTTTAGTGAAGGCTGGTTTGAGAGAGGGAGTGGATTCAAGGAATCGGATGAAGAGCGGAAGTGGCAGATTCTCGGTGGATTCAGTGTCGGGAGGGAGGCCGTGGGATGTGCTATCGTAAGGGATTTCGAGGAGACGAATGAAGGAATGTGGTGGAATAGATGGTCGGAGTTTCTTGATATTGAGAGAGGTGGTGATAAAGGTTATGGAATAACCTTTTTCTTGCTCTAGTTTGAGAGCTAATGCTAAAAATGGGATGAAATGGCCTTGTGCCATTAATGGAAACATTACTATGTTTTCTCTTTTTTGTGCCATTGACAAGAGTGTATAGAAGAAACTATAGCTGTGTGTGTGTGTGAGAAAATATAGAGTTTTGAGTATAGTTCTTGGACAAATATATATATATAGAGAGAGAGAGGGGGGTCATGAAGTAAGTTTTTAAACTTTCTCTCTTTTAATTTCTTGAATTATGATCTGCTATCATTATCAAGTCTTTTTTTAATTCTCAATAAAAGAGAGATTTTGGAAACCATGTGAATATATTCTTAACAGACTAACAATTCCAAAATGTAAAATATAAATTAACATTTTGGTCAGGTGTTTGTTTGTCTTACTTGATTCTTTAAATAGTAACAATGTGATCAAGATAATGCATGGAAATTGACATAGTAGTTGAAATATCTATACTTGTATAATGTATTGTTTGAATATTTTGTGCAGCTATTTTTTTGGAAGCAGCCGTAGGACAAATTTAAAACAAAGACCTATACATGTTGCAGAAGCATATTCGACTTTTTTTTTTTAAGTTTATAATTGTTTTGCACCATCATGTTAAATTATCTACAATATTAGGTTACTGCATGTAACAAGCATGATCTGGAAATCTAAAAAAATATTGTATAGTAAATAACGGATTTAACTCCTCTCCATTTCCTAATCTCTCCATTTCTCCAAGTTCCTACTTGGATTAGAGACACTTATCATGGTTAAAAATAAATGGATGAGATTTAATTAAATAAAATGTATTGGGTGATACCCTTTTTTGCTTGAGCCCGACCGGGTTGGGTCCGGTCCGGGGCAAGTCGGGGCCATCGAACCCGACCTGGATGCAAGGTAGAACGACGGCCACGTCTACAACCGAGGTCGAGTCATTTCGAGACCGTTGCAGAGCTCGATATGAGTCACCACCGGATGGAGAAACACACAAGGTCGGAAGCCGGACTCGTAACGGATAACCAAGCGCCGCCGGATATCTCGCCCAAACGTGATTTTCTCAACCACTTCAGGCCATTAAGGCGTAATTACAGGGATCCACGATGTAATTAATTTACCTACCTTATTTTTACCCTTAATCAGAATGTATAAAAGGGGAGAAGACCCCATAAAGAGGGGACGGGGAAAAAACCATTACACTACAGTACCATCTCTCTAAATTCTTGTACGCTATCAAGCACAATTGTTCTAAGCAATATTATATTCTGCGATTATTTACTTTAACAGCAATTGTTGAGTCTTTATCTTTATTTTCCTCAACCTAAACATTTTGTATCTTTTAGTTCACGGATCCTTAAAACCCCATATAAATTCAATTGTTATCCGGATTCTAGGGTAAACAGTTTGGCGCCCACCGTGAGGCTAAGGATATTAGTGAGCTCTTTGATACTCTTTCTTGACACATCACAATACACTGGTTCTTTGCAAAAGAGTCCATCTTACATTCAAATTACCAACTCATAGAATGGCACAATCAATCAACAACGAACTTGAACAGCAGACAGGAAACAATGGAATGCCCGGGCTCGAAAACCCGATAGATGCCAGTTCCCGGATGGCGCTCAACACTGATCAGGCCTCCGGATCATCGCATAGCGTCCGGGGAGAGGACGATTCGAGGGCCCAGGTAGTCGGCGAAGAGACTATCAACCTTAAAATGATTTTTGACATGCTGCAAGCCCAGCAATCGGCTATAGCTCAGCTCCAGAGCCGGGTCCAGGAGCCTGTCAGGTCCGAGGAGGCTCCCCGTGCAGCTGCAATCATCAATCCGACCCCAGTACAGCCGGAACGGGGTGGGCCGGATGCTGATTCTGCGGTTCTTAGGAGGCTAGAAGAATTTACCGAACGAATCGAAAAGGGGGAGGAAAAGATCGAGGCCAACGATAAAAAAGTAGAAACATACAACTCCAGGGTCGACCAAATACCAGGTGCACCTCCGGTCCTGAAAGGCCTTGACGCTAAAAAGTTTGTACAAAAACCGTTCCCATCCAGTGCCGCCCCAAAACCTATCCCTAAGAAATTTAGAATGCCCGATATCCCGAAGTATAATGGGACCTCGGACCCAAACGAGCATGTGACAGCATACACATGCGCGATTAAGGGAAACGACCTCGAAGATGATGAAATCGAGTCAGTTTTGTTGAAAAAGTTTGGAGAAACCTTGTCCAAGGGGGCAATGACGTGGTATCATAACTTACCGCCAAATTCCATCGATTCGTTCGCCATGTTAGCCGATGCCTTCGTGAAAGCTCACGCCGGGGCGATCAGGGTAGAAACAAGGAAATCCGACCTATTCAAGGTCCGACAGCGCATAAACGAGACACTCCGGGAATTTGTGTCTCGATTTCAAATGGAAAGGATGGATCTTCCCCCAGTCACGGATGACTGNTCTTTCCCTTCCCATCTACATTCAGCCCTCACCCGGTCTAGGCAACCGGGAGTGATTAGACTAATATACTCTGATGCCGGTTCGCCGCGGCCCGGGACCGATGATGGGTTTTCAACCTGGAAGTCGGCAGATACCGAGCAACCAGTCGGTGTGAAAGCTTTCAATGGGGGTTCAGGTGCAGGTTCATCAGATCTAGCGGGGCTCGCGGCCGAGCTTGGTCTAGAAGGAACACTTTGTGAAGTTTTCGCCATTTCTTAAAGCTTTACGAAGAGATGAGAAGAAAATGCAACCAACGCAAAATTTGAGAAAGATAAGAAATGTTGAACCTGGAAGGGTCGTTTATACTTTTCCCATGAGGCGGTGGCACGAATCGCGAAGTCACAGACACGAAGCGACAGATAATTAAGAGAAGCATTAAATGCCTGCAGCAGGCGTGGTCAGAGCACTCGATGGCTTTTTCACCTGGCGTATGGCCATACGTCACGGGCATCACGTCACCGATCATATCGTTTATTATCATTACTCTCTAATAAACGAGGGGACTATCTGTATTGGGTGATACCCTTTTTTGCTTGAGCCCGACCGGGTTGGGTCCGGTCCGGGGCAAGTCGGGGCCATCGAACCCGACCTGGATGCAAGGTAGAACGACGGCCACGTCTACAACCGAGGTCGAGTCATTTCGAGACCGTTGCAGAGCTCGATATGAGTCACCACCGGATGGAGAAACACACAAGGTCGGAAGCCGGACTCGTAACGGATAACCAAGCGCCGCCGGATATCTCGCCCAAACGTGATTTTCTCAACCACTTCAGGCCATTAAGGCGTAATTACAGGGATCCACGATGTAATTAATTTACCTACCTTATTTTTACCCTTAATCAGAATGTATAAAAGGGGAGAAGACCCCATAAAGAGGGGACGGGGAAAAAACCATTACACTACAGTACCATCTCTCTAAATTCTTGTACGCTATCAAGCACAATTGTTCTAAGCAATATTATATTCTGCGATTATTTACTTTAACAGCAATTGTTAAGTCTTTATCTTTATTTTCCTCAACCTAAACCTTTTGTATCTTTTAGTTCACGGATCCTTAAAACCCCATATAAATTCAATTGTTATCCGGATTCTAGGGTAAACATAAAATAAGGCCCTAACTATGGTTAAAGTATTTAATTCCTTCCTTTATCCATTCCTAAATAATATCTTTTTCAATCCCACAATTATAGCTACAGATTATCTAAGATTTCTTCACTCTTTCTGGTAGTAATTTTCTTTCACTTCTACAAAAATAGTAATTTTCTTTCCGCGAGTTAATATTTTTTACTTTTACAAAATCTTCTTACATTATCATTAAAAAATAAAAAACGTTAGAAGTAAGTTCCAACATTTCCAATCTTGGACCAATTTCAAAGCAACTTTTTTCAACTTAGACGTGTAAAAGCATTTGTATCAACATTCCCAAAGAAGTAAATCGAAAGTATCATGAATCTTTTTTGAATTGAGATTTATATGAGGAAAGACTTGAGTAGTTCTTTCCCGCAATAATAGAGCTGACAAGCTATGCGTCTCCTTTTATTTTCTAGGTGAACACCAGACCATCAATTATAAGCATGAGATAATTTCAAAGCGAATGTAGATCAACTGCTCAGTTGCTTCAGTAATGAAAGAGCGCAGCAAGATAAATTCACCAACATAAAAGTCATCCATCCTCTTGCTTATTCACAACACAGAAATACCAAAGTCATAAAAATTAATAAACATAACCATGAATTATCTCAATTCTATTGCAATATTGATGTTTGTCATAACAGAGAATCATATTTTTCAATATGGAAGCATTTATAAACTACACTCCAAAGCTGGAACAGTCACTGATTTTTTTGGAATAAATAGAAGTTTTGAAATCATTTTTGTGGTGACAATGCAAGTTATATAGCTATGCAACCTTTGTTCTTTCATGATATTGGCGATCAACTTTAAGAGTACTTGTTTAAATTATGAAATGAAATATCCTGCAAGTAAAATAATTTATATGAGAGTATTATTTTAAAATATAAGGACATAAAATCGCAAAAATAAATTATACTAACTCTTAGGAGTTGAGATAGACTTCCATGAGATGTTAGCTGAGACGATTCTGAAGAATACATATGTTCATTTTGAGATGGGATCTCCATAAATCTACCATTAAACAGGAGAAAGTAAGACGCATATTATAAGTGAACACTTACTTTGTAGTAGTTTTTACATGACACTTGACTTATAAGGTAATTATGAGGCATAGTCCCTGCTAACCCCCAAATTTTTTATTTGATTGATACAATTCAGCAAGCAATAATGAAAGAGAATAGTGCATAACCATATACTAGTTTGACGATCGACTAACCTTGATTCATCAGATATTCAAATCTAATTTTATTTGTAATTTAAAATGATAAACATCTAAATTTACTTGCTTTCAAGTCAAAGTCTAGTACACCAAAGAACAGAATAGTTTAATTCTGAAATTCCACACCAAAAGGTTCAGTCCATTCTTCCCATACCAAAAAGTTCATGACTTAGTAATTTTCACAAACACATGGTATACAATCTTTTACTCGACAATTTCCACAACAAGAAATGCACAAAAAAGTATATAAAGGAATAGAATTAATGTATAAAGAAGAACCCGGCGAGAATTTCAGAGCAGTTATTTCCAGAAAAATGAAGTTCCACGACTTGCTATCTTGTTCTCTGTTTTTTCACTTGTTTTGTTTTTCTCTATTGATTTTTAACTTCAAGGACTGGATTTTCATGGTAAAAATCTGAAAGATTTTCTCCGCTACCATGATTTTCGGTGTTTCCTGCAGAGCAGCTGTATTTGGCGCATAGAGGGAGAAATTATGGGAAGTTCTAGCGCTAAGAGAGACAAAAGATATTATTTAGGAATGGATAATGGAAGGAATTAAATACTTTAACCATAGTTAGGGCTTTATTTTATTAATTAAATCTCATCTATTTATTTTTAACTATGATAAGTGTCTCTAATCCAAGTAGGAACTTGGAGAAATAGAGACTAGGAAGCAGAGGGGAGTTAAATCCGTAAATAACCTACTATAATAATATGGTTAATACACTAATGATGTAAAACTAAGTATATTATTTAAATTATATATGTTATGAAACAATAAAAGAAGAAGAAGAGTATTGCAGAGAAAAATAGAGGGAGATAATTCTTATTGATTTTGGGATGAATTACAATGGAATAGAACCCTCTATTTATAGGGAGAGAGTGACTTAGCCACCAAGCAATGAGCCCTAGAATCTCTCTAAATATAGACATTCACCATAAATACAATTTTATTTATAACACTCCCCCTGAATGTCTATTCAACAGATGATGTGCCTCGTTAAAACCTTAACTAAAATAAAACCCAATGGGAAAAAAATTCTAGAGAAGGAAAAAGAGTACACATATCTAACAATACGCCTTTTGGTTGCCTCATTAAAAACCTTGCAAGGAAAACCCAGTGGGACAAAATCTTGTAAGGGAAAAAGAGTACAACGCGTATTAACTCCCCCTGATGAGAGCATCACTTCACATCCTTATGCATTTGCATTCCAATCTTGTGCACCATCTTCAAAAGATCTTTGGTAGAGATTTGATGAACAAATCAGGCATATTAACTTGAATGAATATATTGCACCTTGAAATCATCATTCTTGATAGAGATGAATTGTCTTCATAGGATCTTGTTGGAATCGTCAGTTCAATATCTTCACATAGAGGTGGAAATTCCTGCTATCATATTATCATGCATATAGTTATAGCAAGATACATTTGTGCACAAATTGCACTGAGGATGTAGTACTTCATGACCATGAATTCTATATGCTTTAAGCAATTTAAATCCCTCACGGATTGTTAAGTCATATAAGTCATATAATAGACTTTAGATGCATATCAAGTTTTCATGTCATGCTAGACATATAAGATATCGAAAACTGATTGCACATACCATTGACTTTATACTTTCAAGTGTTTGAACTACATGTCCAAAACTACATGTCTTTCATATGAAACCAATTCTATTTGAATTGTTTCTCTAGACTTAAGATCCTCATATATATTTAGCGCTATTATAGATGTCGTCGACAAACATTTTATATCGGTTCCAACTTCCTTATTTTTCATAAAGACATAACATAGAGATCTCTTCATTCATATATTCAGGTACCTGAATCTCTCATGAGATTTTATGAAGTGTTATGTCATGTGATCTTCTAGATCACTTGCCTCCTTTATTATGATCATTTAGATCATTTGCTCATCTTCTTTATCAAGAAGTTTATTTGAAACCCACTTGTCTATACGCTTCAAGCGTACCATAGACTTTGTCCTTCTAGGACTTAATAGGAGCATTTGCAATGAGAATATAGTTACTTTCTTTGGGTCAGCAAATACGTCTGGCATGCTTTGCAATATATTGCAACTGAATTATCCTTTTATGAACTTCAAGTTCATATTATCTTATTCGAGGATCTAGATGTACAAGTGATAATTCATTCCACGTAACCTTTTCTCAACTGTTTATCATGTCTCCCCCTCATGTTAGAAAAACTAACTTGTTTTCTCAACTTTGAGAACCCATCTTTGTGCGTTATGGTGTTAATCAAAATATACACCGCACATCAATGATAATAAGATGAAATTATTTGGTTCCTGACCATGAACCACTTGTGAGGGGAGAAAATAATATACTTTGGTATATAACGTATATCAAACTGATATAGATAACTTTGTTCTCATAAGCAATTGTTTAGCTATTAAGTAGAGGCACTTAATAAATTATTTTGCTAAACCAACTTATCAAGATGAACTTCTTGAATAAAAAATCTGGAAATTATGCTCGAAATTAAATTATTGAGCAAATTACCTCGCAAACACCATGTTGCGGGTTAATAATAATCGCACATGTAACCATATCATAGATGCATCTTATGTGGTATGCATGGCAGATGAATGGGCCCATATTCACCTTTGATATTTCCAGCATTCATGGGATTCAATCCCAATTTTAGTTGATTTATTAATTAATGAGAACAAGCAATATAAGAGAATTCGTAAAGAACTTTCTAGTTCTTTAATATTTACCCATGTGAATTCTCTATTATTTTTGCACATCATACATGAATTAACATGGCTAAACCAAGTATGCCAACTGGATAAATTATCAATATTGATAAACTTCAGGTTTACACCATGATGTGTGCAATTATGAATAAACTCCAAGTTTATTATGATAAGGGTTTTTATATCAATAAATATCCACTTCATTGTGGTATTCTTTTGTTTATGAAGTACAAATTGGAGAATAAATCGAGTAGCTTTTCACATACATATTACCCCGCTACAAGATGTAGTAATAGAAGATATTAAATCTTTCCTTTATTTATAGTCTCAATATAATCAACCGCTTTCGCGTATACTTTGGAAACTGAATAAGTTTCTTTGAGACTTACTACAACACAATACATTATTGGTAATTAATTGTGTTTCTCCAAAATAGTATAATTGGCTCTTGCAGAGTTCTCAATTAATGTTGTAGTACCACATATTCATCAACACCCATATGGTGAATATCTCTTTTAAAGAGAAAGTTATACCATTATGGTTATGGTCAAAATTATATGCAAGATCTGTTTCTTGCATTACCGTTGACTTTTAATAATCACAATGCCAAAATATTTTGGCGTACAATAGGTACGTGACCAATGACCATTCATGCCATAATAATGATATCATTTTCTTATATCATCTCAAACCTCATTCTAGAGGTGAGTGTGGTATATACCACTAGCACGCTCATATTCTTCCAAAAATGAATATGTATTCTTAAATCAGATGTTGTCACATTCACATCATGAATAGACCATAATCATCTATATGTGCTTTATAAAATCTCATGTCAAAACGATGACAAATATTTTCACAAGTGGGGGATTATTTTGAGAATCCTTATTATTCTCATTATCACAATGATGACGATTATAATTTCGTCTATTGCCACGTCCACATCCATTGATACATTCATAGTGATAATTTTGTCTTCTTTCAGACTTATCACATACTGCTATCACATTCTCTTCAGGGAATGAGAATGGAGCAAATTCAATGGGACGAGTTTCCACTTTTTGTGCCCATAATCATACATGAATTTGATCATGGCAAGACATAGAAACTTTTACCACTTCATGTGGTTATAATTTCTTACAAACTCCATTAGAGTTGTTATCAAAATTTATTGTCTTTGTATTTAAAATCAAATTATAGAATAAAAGAGAAAAATACGGTAAAATACTTACCTTAAATCCAGAATTTAATCATGAAGGAAGTTCATGGAATAATTGACAATCATTATGCTGAATCCCAAAGCTTCTACTCAATTGGTTAACATCTCATGCTGATAACGTGTTATGAAACAATAAAAGAAGAAGAAGAGTATTGTAGAGAAAAATAGAGGGAGAGAATTCTTATTGATTTTGGGATGAATTACAATGGAATAGAACGCTCTATTTATAGGGAGAGAGTGACTTAGCCACCAAGCAATGAGCCCTAGAATCTCTCTAAATATAGACATTCACCATAAATACAATTCTATTTATAACAATATACCCTTTTTAATATTTCCTTTAATCTTTGTTGTTTTAGTTTTTCTTTTTCTCCATTCCTTTTTTTTTGGTTTCATTTTTTACTTTGGAATACTAACATGCTGCTAGCTCGCACGATACTTCTACTTTGTGCATGTATTACAGTGTCCTAAATTCTTAATAACACGCATCGAAATTGAGTTGCTCATAGGCTTCATCAGTGACGGAGCCAGAATTTTCATTAAGGGGAATCAAAATATAAAGAAATAACTCACCAAGAAATCAAGGGGTGTCACCATATAGTTTATATACATATTTTAAAAAGCAATTACCGAGCTAAACAATATAATTTTCTGATGAAGAGGTGTCTGTTGACACCCCTGGGTGCATGTGGCTCCGCCACTGGCCTTCATATTGGTGGAGCCACATTTACTGAATTTCTTTCCGGAGTTGTATTGTGTATATAGGTGAAATATTTTTTTTATGTGTTTATATATAATAAAGATGATATTACAAGAGTATTTTTGCATAAAATATGTCATCATACTCTCATAGTAAAGCGTATTGCGGATCCCTAAAGTATTTGGGCTATAGATAAGTATGGGTCGGGAGAAATTAAAAAATAGCCAGATTTATAAGTGGTCATTCAAATATAGCCACAATTTCAAAAGTAATCAAAATTTAGCTATTTTTCATGTAAAGATAAATCTGAACAAAAACACTGTTCAAAATCCGAAAAAATACTCCAGTATAATATGCTGGAAGTCCAATATACTCCAGTATATTTATAATATAAATATACTGGAGTTCCAGTATAATATACCGGTCCAGCATAATATACTGGAACTTTCCGCGTGTTGGAGTTCCAGCATAATATGCTGGAAGTTCATACACAGGTGCACCGATCTCCAGTATATTATGCTGGAACTTTCCGTGTTACAGCAAAATAGTGGCTATTTTTCAATGACTTTGCAAACGCTGACTATTTTTGAATAATCAGCCCTAAAACTGGCTAACCCGTGCTATTTTAATGTATGGGTTGTGTTTCAAAATCACAAGCCCATATTCCTCCTGGGCTTTTGTTCGGAATGGGTCTTGTCCCTTTAGATTTGGGCAAAATACAAAAGTAGCCGGTCAACCGGAACTAATTGCTTGCTAGCCAACAAATTTATATAAATTATGTATATTATATATATTGTTAGCTATTATTTTTAGAAGCGGTTAAAATATACATTTCTCTTTTGATTTGAAATTCAGAAGCCCAAACATGTTTAAAAGCTCAAAATCTGCTTTGATTTTCTTCAAATGTCTTTTCAAACCGTAATTTTGAGTTATCCATTGCTAGTAAC